TCAGACAGATGTGAATTCCCCAAGAGGTCATCTAACAGATAGTCCATTCATTAATGGTGAACTGCAAATTAGGATCTAATAAGTAAATAAAAGATCCGTACTCTCAAAACATACATTGCAATTAAGTTTAGGTAGCATTAACTGCCACCTATGTTAACATAAAAGATTAGAGTTGTTTGCAAATTTCGAGACAATTTATGGGAATAGCAACAGCTTTCCCACCATAATAAAAGTCCACTGAGTAGAATCTGAGAAGATGGAATATTTTTAAAGCACAGGAGCTGAGACAGGATTGATCTGCAGCCTCTGCTTCTCAGGTTGCCGGGAATGACTTTTGTGGAAGTATAATCAACCTGCCGAAGATAAAGAAGACAGCTCTAGTATAAAGCGATGGGTGCCTTCGAAAAAGTACACCTGGTGTTAGTTTATTTTAATGGAAATATGTTAAGATGTAGCAATGTTCTTAAAGGAAAAAAATATTTGTATTTAGAAACCTAAGACACAGCATTCAAACTTATGATCAGCACACGTCCCTCTCTTTCTTGTCCCTTCTAAACATTTCTTCTTTCAGCACTTTCTATCTTTCATGTCAGCTTCTTTTATCTCAGAATGCCAGCAGACTTCTGAAACATTTATCTTAGTAATCCTCTTAAGAGAGAGGATTCATGCACCAGATCCGTGCAGGAAATCCACGGGTTTTGCAAGTCCGCTAGGTGGGAAGGATAATTCCTTTGTACATCTGTAGCATCCATCTCTCTGCATTGGGACTTCCAAATACTTTTCCAAATTATCTAATTATCCCTTTCAACACCCCTTGGAGGGAGGCAGGCAGGAGGTAATTCCGATTCCATTTCTTCAAGGAGTAGAGCTCATGATTTGTTCCACAATGAGGCGGCTTAGCCTAAAGCTATATTCTCAAGAAACTTCTGTTGTACAGAGAAGACCTTGAGTGTCTTAAAATCATGTTTCCTCTCTGGAATTACAGGTAGTTGTGGATGCAGTAGATGACAAAAAATTTTAAATGGAATGATATCTGAACCACTTGTCTGGGCCGGTTGGAGCAGGCCTTACAATGTGTCCCAGGTATGTTTCCTGGGACACACTGCCAATGATCTCCCTTTGGACAAGTCAGTACACGTGTTAGCCGGCCAGAGCCCAGCTAAGTTACCTCATCTCTCTGTGAAATCACAGACTCTATTGTTTATGTAATAGCTGTTCTCCCCTGGAAATAATATTTTATGGGAACCATTTAAGAAACATCAGCCCAGATGGGTTTTTCTCCCCTTCAAATTTTCTAATTCAGAAACCAAAAATTCTGGAGAGAACGAATCACGGAATGACATGATTATCTAATTACTATGAAGCACCCCATTTCTAAGACACTGGCTTCTGTTTTCCTGCCTTGTTTGAGCATCTGTGGGGTAGATCATAGCCTCATTCCCTTGACAAAGCGGTCTACTAGGGCTCCGGGAGGGTCCTCTGAATGTTGGCATGGCACCCAGCTGTCCTCAGCCCCAGCTGCCACCTGTCCACATACTTGCCCTTGGTCAATGCAACCAGTTTCAGCCTTTAAATACCATCTTTAGGCTAATGATCCAGGTCTGCATCTCCAGCCCTAACCACTCCGCAGAGAACGACTGACACTCATTTCATGTAAGGCCTCTTCCCCACTTGATCCACCCCCCCCCCCCCCCGTTTCTTCCCTTACTCCAAGTACAAAAGGGCTACCCACACCATCGGAAAAAGGCTCGTTGGTCTTTTACAGTAATGTAGCCCTGGACTTCAAGAGCCACAGGACCTGGTCTAGCTTGTGTCACTACGCTGCTGCCACAGCAGGCTGAGAAACACGTCTGAGACCGTCCAAATGTCCTGCGCAGGAATCCCTTTGGTCACCCACCTCTGAACCTCGTGCTTTAATAATATTTAATAATATTTTGTCTCACTAACAGATTGCATGTATTAAAAATGAAATTATTAGTTTTCACTTTCTAAGCCATCTAAGTTATGTGACAGAGATGTCTTATTTATGATATATGCTCTAGCCCTGACCAAGTGGCTCAGTTGGTTGGAACATTGGCTCTGGTACATCAAAGGGTTGCAGGTTCAATACACCGTCGGGGCACATACCTGGGCTGCGGGTTCTTTCCCTGGTTGGGATGCATGCAGGAGGCAGCCAATCAATGTTTCTCTTTCACATCAACGTTTTTCTGTTTCTATTTCTCTCTTTTCCTTTCTCTCTCTCTAAAAACTTAAAGAAAAACATATCCTCGGGTGAGGATTTAAAACAGCAAAAAAGAGCCCTGCCCGATTTGGCTCAGCGGTTAGAGCATCGGCCTGTGGTCCAGAGAGACCCGGGTTCGGTTCCCGCTAAGGGCATGTACCTCGGTTGCAGTTTGTCCCCGGCCCTGGTTGGTCGTGCAGGTGGCAGCCACTCGATGTGTCCCTTTCACGTCGATGTTTCTCTCTCTCTCCCCCTCTCTCCCTCCACTCTATCTGAAGAAAAAAAAAAAAAAAAAGGAAAAATGTCCTCGGGTGAGGATTAAAAAAAATAAAAAAAGATATATTCGAATCACACAGGGGCTTTTAATCAGGCCCACACAAACACAGGGAAGTTGATGCTCTGGTCCCCTTTGCCACTGTTCTCTTTATGTTTAAAAAATTCTGAAAAACAGTTCTTGGTCCCCTAGCTTGGCATTTCCACACTAAAAAGTCTTTTCTTCGGACAAGTCCCTTCTTGCGAGGGTGTCATAGAATCAGTGCGGACGGACCTTCCAGAGCGTATTTGACGTAGTGGGACAGATCTTCGTTAGTTCTCCACCTGCCTGTGGGCTAGTTGTGTCCATAATAATTATAAGTCAGTGTTTTCTGCCATTTGGATCCTAGACCCAGCAATTTCTACACTGAGGCCATCTCCAAAATCCAACCCTGATACAAATGCCAGAAAGCTGCTAGGCAAACCGATACTCTGTTGTTATCATTAATTCCACCCCACCCCCAAATCAAACAAGTGGTAAGGTTTTCTGTTCTGATGAAATAGCCCCTAGAACTCCTATTCTTTCAGGGCACATCTTGTTCCTTTGATTTAACTTAAACCAGTGAGCCAGAGTTCCCCCCAAATGGTGAATTAAGAAGGTCTGTTAACTCTTTCAGTGTCCGGCTTCAACAAATCTTGGCAAGGCCATCAGTATTGTTTTGCCTCAGGCTTTATACTTTTTAAAAGTCAGCTGTCATATCCGAAGCGATCCAAAATAGCACACTCGACAGAACCCCGGAGTTTTGGAAATGTTAATGCCCTCCTTCAGCAGTGACCTTGCCGCTGGGAAGTGATTTAGGCATGAGGGAGGAAAGGGCCGCTATCTCCATCACGCTGGTTTACACCATCAGCCTCAGAAATAGTGTGAAAGAAGAATAATCAATAGTGTGTTAAGACCAATCTCCAAGAATGCCAAGACAAAGTGTTCCTGCTCTGCAAAATGCTGAGTTGAAGGAGAACTTTTGAATACAACACAAGAGAAATTACCTGTAGCGGTAAAACGAAATGAATTGTGTCTCCAGGTGGAATTTGTCATTGGGAATGGCACTCAGGAGCTCTCTGTGTACGTCAGTGGAATCCCATAATATGCCTGATGAAAAATGCTCATTTTAAAGTTGAACAACACAGAATCCAATTACAAAACCAGAAGAAATGCCTCTGAACATACACATGCAACTTAAAGAATTAGCTGACATTGAGAGTCCCAAAAAGTTTACTGGAAAGAAAAAAATCTAGGAATAGAATCATCTCCGATGTAGAAATGGGAAAGACATAAAATTAAACTTCATCAAAGTTTCCTGAAAAGGTTACTCTGTTTCCTGGAATTCTGGTAAAGGCATTATCTCTCAATAACCCGCAGAGAGAACGAAGCTTCTACGAACAGCCAAGCAGGGATCCCCACACCGCCCTGAGTGAAGTCACTATGGAAAGAACTAACGGTGCCATCCCTAAAATGATTACAACAAATGTTTGATTTTCCACAGCAACCCCCATAGTGACATGAACCGCTGTCAACAACAGAATTAGAGGGAACCATCATTATATGGATTTCACCAACATCTGCCTATTTCCAACACCATCGCTCAAAGAATTCCTCCAATGGGGGGGGGGGGGTGTTCGTTATTCAAGGAAGAGTCACTCAAGTTATTTGGCCTGATAGGCTATACATGAAATATATATGTCACCATGACAAGAATCCCAAATGGATGTTTATTGAATGCCAAATTCAAGTATATAAAAATGTCTGGGATACAGTTGCTTTCATCCTGTAAGCGTTTTATGAAGTAACTACTACAATTCCTATTTTTAATAGAGTAGTTCTCCTTATCCACAAGGGATATGTTCCAACACCTCCAGTGGGTGCCTGAAACCTCCAATAAGTAGCAAACCCAGTGTATTCTATGGTTCTTCCTATAATACCCACCTTTTCATGTCAAGGAAGCACTGTAAGGCTTCTCTCTGGCATAGCTGGATCACTACTATCCACTTCGGAGCCATCATTCAGTGAAATAAGGATTACTTGAACGGCACTGTGATAAAGCGACAGTCGATCTGATAACCAAGTCGAAAGCAGGGCATCACCATGTTTGACTCAGCTGAGAACATACATGCAGGGCAACTCTAAATTTCGCCGCTCTGCACATGTCTGCAAAAGTGCATGGGTATCGATTTGGGGCTTACAAATTCATTGTTAGTGAGTAGGCAAATTCACAAATACAGAATCCATGAATAATGAGGATTGATTGATTATATTGAAAATAAGAGTCTGAGTGTACAGTCAGTCACTCCGTATCTGTCAGGGTAATTCTTTCTGTTACATTAGTGGTTGGATTTGTTTACATTTCAAAATCAGAGTTTATTGAAAGTAAAAGCTCCATGAGAAATGGGAAATTGGATAGCATGCTTCGGCATCATGCTCTCAGGCAGAAACTGTGCAACTTCCTTAATTTTTCAATGTTTCTTCCAGGTCTTTCAGGGGTGTGGCCAACCCAAACCTGCTCCGGCCCTCAGATCTGCCCGCTCAGCTCCTGAAAATTTTAATACACGGTTCAGGCCGTACAATCCTGAGGAGAGACCAACAACCGCAGCAGGCACGAGCTTGGACCGGCTGGTGAGTTCTCTCGGGTCGATGGCCATCTTCTGTTTCCAAGGTTATTCTTCAGGAGATGGCATGGGGAAAAGTTGGTTGTAAAAGTCATCTCAGTCTTATATCTGCTCTTGGTCTTAATTAGAATATTGAAAAGTAATGAGATCTTCCTTTTAAGTCAAGAATTAGATTATTTAAGAAGTCTTATCACCATTAATCTACTCATGCAAAGGCCAAATTTTCAACTTCATATTTCCTCTGAAATATTAATTTGAAGACTAACTTACTCTATCTTCTAGCGATATAATTATACAATAGCACGTTTCTTATTAATCTGCTTTAGTTATGTATTTAATCATGATAGTTTAACTTTATTATGAATTCTCCTTGTATGTAAAGTTTTCCATTTGGAAGGCCTTACCAAGAGACCCCAAACCAAAGTTACTGAACTACCATTGTGTGTGTGTGTGTGTGTGTGTGTGTCTTTTGAAAGTTGGAATTCTTAGAAATAGTCACTCTGTGATCCATTTAAATGTGTTTCAGGGGATCCAATGGTATCTAGCATCACAACAACTTACTTACAGAATACAACCATAAACTTAGCAAACAATTTTAATGTGTTTTAAGAATAAAATTTTGCTACAAAAACTGAAAATGTCTTAATTTCAGAGATATACTGCCTGATTATTTTCAATGCAATTTATAGTATTTATAGCACTATAAACAATTTACATACCTGCAGCTGTAAGTGCTGTTAATGTTGCTTTGCCAATTATCTTGAAGTAAAATTAGCAGATGAAAAACTTCAGGTCATAAAACATTTGAACTACATGTGATTATATCATATAAACTCAGAACTCAGTTTCCAGTCACAAAAATACTTTTATTAGTCACTGTAATAAATTACTTTATCATTTTAGTTAATATCCTTCTGCAGTGTACAACTCATAAGGTTAAATTGGGTGCATTGGGCCTCAAAGAAAGTACACATCTGCAATTCTGTGTCTAAAAATCAAATGTACTGACAATATAAAGGCCTGTCCACGAAGTGCTAATGTGAAGGGGTAAATGGAATTGTTAACCACTAAATTATGGTATCAATTTATTACAGTGTATTAGCAAATAAGCTCCCTCTTTCATGTAGGTTTTAGAAAAGGAATTATCTGGGTAATCACTTCAACCTTCTAATTGACCTTGGTTATATCTAATATCTCTTCACAGTTTCGGGAAAAGTTTAAGATTAGTCTCTTTTTTTGAAACAACCGATTAGGTTTCTCCAAACATCTAGCCAGTTGTTTTAAAGAAACGATGCTTTCATGAGATTCCATTGTTTGGGGTTTTACTTTACAAATTTCTTTGTATGTCTAGCTCCTTCTAACCAGAAGCACAAATGGTGAGTATGGGTTTGATATCTCTCTCTCTCTCTCTCTCTCTCTCCTTCTTTCTCTATTTCCCTTCTAGTTGGCTCTAGTTTAGTTATTAGAACAATTCAGGCTTTTCAGAATCTTCTAAAACACTCATAAGAACTGGGACACAATGAAGATCAATTAAGTTGTGCCTGTAGATGTCAATACTATATTATGCACTTAAAAATCTGTTAAGAGGGTAAAAATCTCATGTTAAGTGTTCTTACCACAATAAAATAAAATTTTGTAAACAAATTTGGTACATTATACACAGTTAAAATTATAATAAACTTGAACAATATAGTAATATCTATGACTACGAATTAAATTTTTCCCTTTGAAATAGAAGCGCAGTTTTCTCTTCTCCCCAGGAGAAATGAACGTGCGTGCACACACACACACACACACACACACACACACACTCAAACAGGGCAAGTAGAAAAAGAAAAGTATTTCTCAAGACAGTAATATTTATGCAATTTAGCCTAAATAAATTTTTTTTTAAAATTTTTACATGGTGTTTAAAATCTGGTAGGTAGGAAAACTAAAATTTGAGCCTTTTATAAAGGAACTTTATTAATGATCTTCAAAATCCCCCAAATATAAAGGTCTTGAAGAGTAATTGCAGGTAGCAAACTGATTTAAGCTATTCTATTTTATGCACTCCAAAAATATATTTTAATCAACATTTTTCTAAAAAGAATTAGTAATGGTTAATCATGAACAAGGACCAGACTCAGTGCATAAGGACTGGATTCAATGCATAGGTATGTAAGGAATAAGACAATTCCATTCTAAAGTGTTCTGTGACAACAGCATGTAGTACATACTTTCTTATAGGCGTGGCTTTAGGCCCTATAAGGAAGAATGGCAGTTGTATTAATTTTCTATTGAATTCAACTATGATTCCTTCTTAAATTGTAAGAATTAGCCATTTATAATTCACAGCTCGTCATAAACCTATCTGGAGATACCCTCTCAGCCCCTAAGAGCAAGGGGCTCTTTCCGATCAAAGGAGCTAGAGCTACACAAGGTTATTCTTGAGAAAACGTGAGATGGAAGCTCACGCCAGAATCTCGGTTAGCAGCCCTTGGCTCCCCCAAGGCTGTCTTCCCTTCATGGGTTCAACATAGCTCTGAACAGTGAAAAGGTGGAGAAGTAACCAGCTGAGCTGTGCGACGTCAGACCAATCCTCTTTGAGATGCACGCACTGGGTACGCTCCAGACGGGTCTGCTGCACAGCACAGCCTGTGTGCAAACAAGTCCCATGTCACCTACCCCTGCTGTAATTTCCCCTGAAATGATGTTTCTTGAATATTTATAAGAAGCATGTTTCCTTGAAAAGGAGAATAACTGGGAAAGACTTCCCTTAATTCCCCTGGGTGTTTCAGCAGACAATGCTTCTTCCAAGGACAGCATAAAAAGAATATTCCAATCACCCTGCCCCTCTCACCATAGTGAAAATAGCTATAAAGCTCTTATAAAATTGCTTCTCCCTACCATTTAAAATTAGTACCTATGGTATTAGCTTTGGGATCTGTTGATAACTGTTCTAATGTCAATTATTGCGAAACTATTTTTTATAAGAACTGACAATTACGGGGTTTTAGAAATAAAACTCTAACCCCAAGCTGGATAAATGGCTGCTAAAACTTATGTAAAATAATTGAAAACAAAACAAACTCTCTCTTAAAAATACATCAATTTTAGCATTTAACCTCTGTTGTATTTATAAGGAAACTTGTAAATTCTTTTATGTCTCTCAGAAACATTTTCATTTGATTCTGTTTATTGGAGGTAAGAGTTCCATCCACTAAGGTTTAGGTAGCCAGTAGCTTTCAGATATACTATCCAAAAGTTATTTTTATTATCCAATAATGAACGAATGCGTTTGTATAAATTCAGCTGCTGATGGAAAGCTGACTCAATGGAGAATATAACAGGCCTTCCTGCCAGCAGCCAAATGTCAACAACTAGTTTGGTCCACAGTCTGGTCCCACCACCACGGTCTCTGTTACCAGCACTCAACCTGGCAGTGTTTCTGGCGCAGCGGGTTGTTAGGATGGTCGTTACACAGACCAGAGGTGATCATTTGCAGGAAGGAAGAGAGTAGCTCTCTTCCTTTTTTCTTAACTTTATCCTCCATTAATTCTCTTAAACAATTTGATGTAAAACTATGGCTTTTTAAAGGACTTCACTGGAAGCAGAGTATACAAATAAATCAACACAAACTATCTCAGTATTTAAGATCAGAGCATATAGAAGTATTTCCGATTATCTTTGTAAAAGGCGATTAGTTGTAAAGCTCAGAAAGTTAGAGCACAACACACTAAATGGCTCCTGGACACACTTGGACCAGGAGTGTCTGTTACGCCAGCTGATTCATTCGAGCAAAAATTCCTGTATCTTAGAGGAATGTATTTTATAAAAGCGAATAAAACACAAACAAACAAAAAAACAACTTGGAGGTGAATTCATCAAGTTGGTGATGATTGAGACCAATGAATCGCCAGTAAGTATTCAATACCCTACTGCGTGTGCAGATTTCTCAAACATTCTGCTGCTCAGTCTGAGGGCGTTTGGGGGAGGGGTGGAATGGCAGCCTGCAAAGCTAAACGTTATACCTGTGCTCTGCTGTTATGTATAGAATAATCTCTCTTTCTTTTTCCCTTCAATTTGTTTTCCTCTTGCTTCCCAGAGGAGTGTGTGGAGGACAATGCAGCATAGTGTAAGCTTTGGTCTTATTCTTCCTCCTCTCATCCCCATTTGTCTTTGTGCAATCATTCCGGAGAGTTACTGAGAAACCCCACCTCCCTTTTCCAAATTGTCCGGAGAGCCCACTGAACACCGTGCATGACCGATGGGTTTAGTAACCTCCTCTCTGGGTATTTACGGTTAACAACCATTTGGTATTCTTTCCCAATGGCAAGGTTTTCGATCTGAGCTTTGTGTAACACGAGCTCTTCTGGTGGCTGATTTAAATTCTACCCGAATGTTCAGACTACATGTAGTCTGCCTGAAAAACTAGCTCTTCCCGCTACACGTATATAGGCTTTTTTCTTTTTGTGCTGAGTGAATAATTACCTCACTAATAAAAACAAACCAACCTCAGCTTTTATGCATAAGGAGCTAATTTTTCCATTAACTGGGACATAGAGAGTTTAGCGGGTTAAAAAATAGTTTTTGGTCTGGGTCATTTACTGTTTTCTTCCCCTACTTAAATTTACTGATATCTTTTAGATCATTTAGGGAGGGAGCACTGGACATGTTTTACTGCAAAGTAGTTTGTATGGAGGCTGACGACAAGAATGCCGAGGTTCTCTTACCTGAGTGTATATATTAATCATGATAATCGGAGAGTTAAGTTACCCTGTAATAAAGCCGTGAACCCTCCATAGCATCAAGGACCCAAGAGAGAAGGTGATTGTCACCTAATCAGCTCATACTAATTCATGCAGCACACCCGTGACGTAATGGTGCCACAGGTCAGCCTGGCCTTAAATTCAGGCAATGGTCACACTATGTCTAAAATGTCTCTTTTAAAATTCACTTAAAAGGAGACTGTTCCCTGAGTGGTGTCCCCGTTCATCCTTTCAAGTCTCTGAGCCCAGGGCAGTT